CTCACCATTTGCAGTGATGTGGATGGAGCTAGAGATTATATTAAGCAAAATAAGTCAGTCAGAGAAAGACCAACAGCATAGGATTTTACTCATATGTGGAATTTAAAAGAGAAAACTGATTATCATATGGGAAAGGGAAAAAAAAGAAAGGTAGGCAAACCATAAAGAGTCTCTTAACTATAGAGAACAAACAGACTTGATGGACAGGTGGTGGCTAGGGAGATGGGCTAAATGGGTAATGGGTATTAAGGAGGTCACTTGTTGTGATGAGCACTGCGTGATAATATAAGTGATGAATCATTAAATTCTACTCCCGAAACCAATATTACATTATATATTACTAACTAGAACTTAAATAAAAACAAAACATAAAAAAATTTATAGCATTCTAGCTATAGTCAACACTAAGCTAGAGCGGCTATAATAATATCTGGAAAAGTAAATTTTAGAGCAAATATTACCAGGAATACAGAAAGTGATTTCCTAACAATGAAGTCAAGTCATCAATTCATCAAAAAGACATAAAAACTGTAAACATTTATGTATCAAAGTAAAAACGAGTTTCAAAATACATGAAGTAAAAATTGATAGAATTGCAAGAATAAACTAATCCACAATTACAGTCACAGATTTCAACATTCATTTCTCAAACTGACAGAACATCAACGAGAACATTAGAAGACAACAAAACCATCAACCAACTTGACCTAATTCACATTTGTAGAACACTCCATCCAATGACAGCAAAATGTAATTTTTTTGCCCGTGTCCAAGGAACATTTACTAAAATAGATCATATACTGGATGCTATGATCTGAATGTTTATGCCCTGCCCCAAAATTCATCTGTTCAAATGCTAACTCTTAAAGGCAATGGTATTAATAGGCAAGACCTTTGGAAGGTGAATAGATCACAAGTGTGGATCCCTCATGAAAGGGATTAGTGCTCCAACAAAAGAAGTCCCACAGAGTTCCCTATCCTCTTCCACCATGTGAGGATACAGTGAGAAGGTGCTACTTTATGAATGAAAAAGAGGATACCTGACTATGCTGGTGCCTTGATATTGATTTTCCAGCCTCCAGAATGGTGAGCAAAAAATTTCTATTGTTTATAAACTACCCAGTCAGTGTTATTTTGTTATAGCAGTCCAATGTACTAAGACACTAGATTTATTCATTTTCTATTGCTGTGGCAAGGAATTACCATGAACTTAGTAGCTTAAATAACAATACACACTTACTAACACAATTCTGTATGTTAGAAATCTGACATATTTACTCCTACAGCTCTGTTGTAAGCAGTCTGATAGAGGTTTCAATGGACTAACGTCAAGGTATTGGCAGAGCTGTGTTTCCTTTTAGGTATTCTAAAGAAGAACCTGTTTCCTCCACTTTTCCAGTTTCTAGATTCCCCTTTCTCCCATACTCAAAGCTAGTAATCCTGCTTCTCTCTAACTCTTCTTCTGTATGCACATCCCTCTCCAACCCTGACTTCAGGCAGCAAACATTACTTTGAGACCCAGCTAATTAGGTTGGATCTACCTAGCAATCCTGGGTAAGCATCTTAACGCCCTAACCTTAATCACATGTTCAGACTCCCCTTTTTTATGTAGGATAATAGATCCACGGGTACCAGGGATTAGGACGTGGTTACCTCTGTGGAGCCATTATTCTGCCAAACACATTGGATCATAAAATAAGTCTCACTTAAGAAATTGAAATCATTCAAAATATGTTCTGTGACAATGAAGTTAAATTAGGAATACATGACAGAAACATTTTAAGACATTTTCCAAATAGCTGCAAATAAAATATCCCACTTCTAAATACTCCACTAACAAAGAAAGAAATCAAAAAGGAAATTGGAAAGTATTCATCTCAAAAAAACAGAAAAAGGAGAGCAAATTAATGTCGTAGTAAGCAAAAGAAAGGGAATAATGAGAAGAAATGAAAGAAATAGAAAAAATAGAGAAAACAAATGAAACCATTTGTTTCCTCAAGGAATATTAGTGAAACTGATAACTCTCTGGCTGATCAAGGAAAAAAAAAGAGAAAGAGAGAAAGGAGAAACAAATTATGAATACCTGAAATGAAAGTGGTGATATCCACTGGATAACATGTAAATATTATTAATAATCTTACCAATAAGTTCTACAAGTTAAATCAAATGGGAGAAATATAACTGAGACACACAAACTGATAGAACTTATTCAAGAAGAACAGAAAACCAAAAAAGCTCTAAATCTATTAAAGAAATTGAATTTTTAACTAAAACCTTCCCACAAAGAAAACTGCAAGTCCAAATACATTAAATGTTGAATTCTACCACAAATTTAAGAAAAACAGTAATATCAATTCCACACAAGTCTTTCAAAAAATTAAGAGGAAATATTTCCTAATTCATTTTATATGGCCAGCAGTACCATGATACAAAGTCAAACAAGATTACAACAATAGAAGACTATAGACTAATAACCTTCACATTCATAGGTATAAAAGTTCTTAGTCAAATTTTAACAAATCAAATCCAACAATAAATTTTAAAAAATACAAAATGACCACCTGGAGTTTACCCCTGTATAACAAGGTTGACTGAGCATTTAAAAGCCTTTAAAAATGGGTATTTCAATTCTACTGCAAATAAAGCTCAATTGAAATAATTTTATGTTTAATAACTGAAAGTTTTTTATAATCCTATAAACAAACACATGTACTCATATGCTTTAATATGACATATTCCTCAGAACTAATATAATGATTTTTTAAACAATTTTATTTATTTGACAGAGAGAGAGAGATCACAAGAGATAGAGAGGCAGGCAGAGAGAGGGGGAAGCAGGGTCCCTACTGAGCAGAGAGCCCGACGTGGGGCTCTATCCCGACCCTGAGATCACGACCTGAGCCAAAAACAGAGGCTTAATACACTGAGCCACCCAGGTGCCCTAATGTAATGATTAAAATCAAAGAGTAGGAATTAGGCTGTAACTATGTTAACCATCAGTTACTTTCTTTCTAAATTTTTTTATTGGGGGAGAGTAGAATATTTCAACTTTATTATACAAATTCTAGTGTGGTTTCTAGAACTAGTATATTCTCAAAAGAAAATTCAATTTAAAAATTTAATTTTAACCATTAAATATTCATTAACATTCAATAATAATGATATAATTTGCTTAAAAATAAAATAATTAGATAACCAAGACATGAAGTACATGAAACTATTTAAGATTTAACAGTTATATCTAATTTAATTACTACTTAATAAGCTCAATAGATGAGCCCTTTGGATGCCTTTAATCATAATTTGAATATACCAAGTGAAATATGATTCATATTTCTGTAAAAATTCTAGAAAATAAAATGATGCATCCAACATCCTCAAGGTCAAGATATTTCTAGCATTTTCTGACCGTATTAGCATCTAAATCAATCACCCAGGCACCCCTTAAGGATTTTAAAACATAATGACCTAGCACAGGGCTTGGTACATAGGAACTATTCCATATACTAATTTGAATTCAATCTAATCAAATAATCAGTCATAAAAGAATGAAATATGAACAAATCCAACATTACAACATATAGGCTTTTCTTTCATAAAAGCATAAATAAAGAACACAAACCCTTACTAATTCAAGATAGAAAGAACATCCTAAATGTTTCCTAGCCATAAATCTAAGCCTTTGGCAGCCTATCACTAAACACAATAAAAAATGAAATATACAACTTTAATTTTAAAAAAAGGAAAGAAATATCCAACATCTATATGTAGCCTAAAGAAATCAACAATGAGAGGTAGTGGATCTTAAAGAACTGTTAAGTACTGCTTACCCTAAATTTTTAATGAAGTTTAAATTATGTTCAGTATGTAATAAAGCAAAAATGAGATTCTAAACAAAGCAAATAATTTCAAGAAGAGCTGTAAGAACAGAGTATCTAACCCTCAGATGAAGTTCACAATTTATCACAAAACCCAATCTAGTTATCTGAAGTTTTGATGCATTTCTTAGAATACAATTTCATTGAAAAATTAGTACTTTTTTTTTACTGAGTCAGTATCACTAGCATGAACATTTTTTAAAAAAATGTTCATTATCATAGCTGCTCGTGATCTGGGGACCATACTTTGAGAACCAGTAAACTAGAAATGTAAGGCAATCGAGTTTCACAATCTGAAGGTAGGACAGATAATCTGTTGACTGCATAACTGACAGTTTTCATTGCTGGGCCACAGGGAAACGAAGTGTTAAAGCAGCAAAGATTTTGCCCTTCACTAGATTTTGCCCCCCCAAAAAAGGAAAAATAAAGGAGAAAGGGAGAAACATGCTGCCTAGGCCAGAGGGCAGCTGTGATATTCTAAACCCAGAATCTGGTTCTGTCTTCCTTTGGAGACCCTGAGGAATACTCGAGCACATTTTTCCATGGCTCTCATAACTGTGAGAGGCGTAAAAAGCCTGGACACAGAGACTGAGCAGATCTGCTGTCTCTTGCAAAGTCCAGTCTCAAGAAATAGCCAGCTTTTCACTCCTTTCCTGGACACCAGCCCTCAGACTTACCACCTGTACTTTAATCAGGCCAAAACCTTCCCTTTGAGCTAATACAAAGAAGGAGAAAACCATCTACTCTTGACCTATCTTCTACCTGTGCTGGGTCTTAAACTTCGAAACTATGTAGATAAACTTTCTGTACTTGGATTCTGTTTTCCTACCCTTTCAGTTAGAGTATAAACTAGGTGAAATAATATTGTCTCACTGGCACTCCATTGTTACCAGAAAAGAAAACTGTAATTAACATTAAACCAATAGATCTCGAAGTCAAAAAACAAATAAACACATTCATCATCAGACATTCTAAGTACCCTTTTTTCTCAAGGGTCAATACATGTTTCATGTTGTTCAAAACACAGAAATCTTATCCATATCATTACTTTGAACAATAACAGCATTGTTTTTGTGAAGAAAATATTCAATGGGCATTATGTTAAATACTATTAACACTTACCTGTATTTTAATAGGCCAGGAAAAGTTGCTGACGTACACATAGAATGTAATGTTAGGATTGCTTCTAAAGTTAAATTTTTCATAGGAAAAGCTATCTCTGTATTCCTTTATATTAGTTTTGGAAACAATAGGAGTCTCCTCTCCGGATATTGTTCCAGCTAAAATGTAAATAATAATAACAAAATTTTAAAACTCATATTAGGAAAAAAGGATCTTTATGAACTTAAAAATATATGTTATATTTACTTAATTTTTAGAACTGTACATATAAAAACATAATTATCAAAATAAATTTGTTCACTATTTAGAGTGACAAAGGAGAAATAAAATAAGATTCATCATAAATGTAATGGAAATAGTATAAAAAATCATTTTTAAAAACGATACCACTGATTAAGTGCTATGTACTAGGCAGTGATGTAGAGATTTTACATTCTTTTCAAGTAACAGTTTTATCCCAGAGGTATTCCATCTCTATTTTTCAAATTGAAACCTGACCCTCAGAAAGTTAAGTTTATAGCTACTGAATGGTAAATTCCTCTTTGGAACTCAGATATATATTAGCTCCAGATACTGAGCTCCTTCCATTTGCTACTCCACAGAGCCTCTCAAAACAAATCAGGACATATTTCATATGTCTCAATCCAATTAAAAAATGGAAAAGAAATCAATTTATTTGTTTTACTCACAAATTGAACCATCACTGCTTTGAATAAATTGAAAGGAGGCTACAATTTAAAACATGAGCTAAATGTTCAATTAGTTAAACACATATTACATATTCAATAAGTATTTACTGAAATTAACCAAATGGAACAAAACATTTCCAACAATCTTACCAAGACTTCTACCTTACTTACTTAACTAAGTAAAAATATTTAGAATTAGTATACTGAGCAGTTGAAATAAATTCGTCACCTATTCCAAAATTATGTGGGATGCTGTTATAAAAGGCAGATTTCCTGACCCCATCTCCTAACCCCCAAAATAAAAATTTCTGAGATTTAGTTCTGGGAATCTGAAAGTTACAACAACTTCTTCCATTAAAAAAAAAAAAAAAGACCGTTCTAAACTAATTACAAAGGTTTTATATATTTTTGTTAACAAATTTCAAAAATCTTCCAGAGTCAGTTTATTGTGCCAAAGTAAATTTCAAATTAATAGCACAAGTTTTCATGAATTACTTTTTTTAAATGATTCCTTTTTAAGTAATCTCTACACCCAGCATGAGACTTGAACTTACAACCCTAAGATCAAGAGATACATGTTCTACCAAGTGAGCAAGCCCAGTGTTCCATCATGAATTCTTAATTAGTGAAGCTCAAAATACCAAGATTTTACTATATGTTTGGTACCACAGTAACAAAACATCTATATGGTTGCCCAAACTTCTCATTTTTAACACATGTAATGTAGGTTCTAGAATTGCAAAGACCTTATCATTCTTGAAATCTACATCTCCATGATTCTACATATTAAAATAGCATAATGACTTGATTTTCAGAAATCAAATATGGATAACTGAGAATCCACATATTTTCTTTAAATAAGACTCCAACACTTTGATGTAAGAGTATATCTTTGATATAGTAAAAAAAAACGAATAGAATTTCCTAAGATGTAAATACAAAAAAAAAAAAAAAAAGTGAGCATACTTTTTTATAATCCAACATAGTTTATATTTCAACTTGGTTACATTTTTTAAAAGCCAAAAACTTCAACTTTTAAACCTTATTATGGAAGACATATTAAGTATAGGTTTTTTTTTAACCTTCTCTCAGAACTGAAGCTGACAAAGGGAATAGTATATTTCTAAGCTTGAAAGTAATAGAAATCAACATGCACAGAACATCATTGTTTTGTATCAATATTAAGGATAATAGTTAAATTTATAGCTTCAATAGTGAATCAAATAATTGAAATCTCAGTCCCTAGTCATTAAAGAAGTAATCTATCTTAATTAAAATCATAGCAATTCATAAAACTGCCATTTTAAGTGGTGTACAATATTTGTTACCCATCTAATTTTAATTGAATAAGGGACAAAGTTAACAAAGGAATGAAACTTTATTAATAATACTACTTATTATTTTTACCTGAATCAGCACAATGACATATATTTTTTTATTTCAATTATTTGAATTAAGAATAAAAGGCGTTAGAACACCTTCCATAAACAGATGTGAAAGACATGTGACAACAAAATCCTCTTACCTGTTGAACCAACTGACCATGTAATGTTGAGATTAAAGTTGTTTGATGCATTAATTGAAATATCCAAATTTTTGTTTGACTACCAAGAAAGAAAATATTAGGGTTAAAAAATCAAATTACACTAAATAATATTTTATGTTTTAATTATGCCCATGCACTATTTCAGACTTTATACATTTTGTCATTATTCAACTAAGTATAGATGTCAGTTCTACTTTTTTAATGAAAACATATAGGTGATAAATTCAAAGGTAGTTTCAATTTCCCATTTATCCTCCCTACTATAATCCAACCTTCTGTATGTAAACCAGAGGCTGCTGAAATTCATTGTTTGTATTTTGATTTTCTTTGTTGACCTATAGATAATAGCTAAATGATACAGATTTGGGTTAGTCCAAAGTAATTTTACAGCAATGTAATATTATTGTTTTGTTGAAAGATTTCTTCTTAGGTGCATACTGTATTATTATACACACATTTTTGTAGTGAAAAAATATATATAAAATACATAAACCAGAACTTTAAGGTAAAAATGGGTTAGAATTAAATCTATTGTCAAAATGTAAGAAATGCATAAATAATTAAGGTACCTATTTATTACTTTTTTTTTTATGTAGGATAAGTAGGAAGCCCTGACCACTAATCTGTATTAATTTCAGTAACTGTTCAAGGTTGAATATCATTTTAGGTATAAGTTATATTTATATAATTAGATATAATGATGTCATAAGCATTCTTAATGGCCACTCTCATGATAGTTTAGCATCCTATCATTTCAAAGAAAATGTGTCTGGGCTCTTGGTTTCAACTGGGACAAGATAGTAGAAAGTAAAACATAAAGCTATGACATTTGGAAGAAGTCAAGAATTTCAGGAAGTTGAAAAGGGAAAGGACGGTCAGGAGAGAAGCAAACTAAATTACAGCTAATCTGGACCTACGTGTGTGACACTATGGATAATATTGTGGAGAAATATTATTCACACCCATATTTATTGTAAAGATTTTATTTATTTATTTGAGAGACAGAGAGAGACAACAAGTGGGGAGGGGGCAGAAGGAGAGGGAGAAGCAGACTCCCTGCTGAGCAGGGAGCTCCATCCCAGGACCCTGAGATCATGACCAGAGCCAAAGGCAGACATTTAACTCACCTAGTGACCCAGACACCCCTAAACCCATATTTTGAGTCAGATATTCCAAATTATATTAATGTCTTATATCTTCAAAGTCCCTAAGTTTGGAATTACACTCCAATTACTTGGTATTAAACGTTCAAGAGGCCAATGTTAAAGAATGAAATTCTGATAACATGCTATAACATAGATAAGTCTTGGAAATGTTAGGCTAAATGAAGTAAGCCAAACAGAAAAGAACAAATATTGTATGGTTACAATATTGTATGATATGAGGTACCTAGAATATACAAATTCATAAACACAGAAAGTAAAATAACAGGGTTACAGGGAGAAGAAATGAGGAATTATTGCTTAATGGATTTAGAAATTCTGTTTGGAATGATAAAAAAAATTTTGGTGATGGATAGTGGTGATGACTGTAAAACAGTGTGAATGTAATAATGCCACTGAATTGTCCACCTAAAAATGGTTAAAATGATAAGTTTTATGTATATTTACAATAAAAAAGAAGTCAGTGGTGGTTATAAAGCTTTCTTATCACACTGAAGAATGTAGTTTCTGATATATTCCCAAGAAGATAGACATTTCCTTAAAATCTAAGGAATAAAGAGTAACATAAAATGAACTGTTCTACTTTTTGAGAAAAGGGATCCTATTTTACTGTAAAAGAAAATTTAAGAAATTATGTTATTTATTGGCAAATCAAAGAAAATACTTTAGAGGAAAGAACCTAGCAAATGGCAGGATATATTCTGAAGTTTCATCTATTTGATAAACTATTAAAATATATGATAATGGAGGGGCACCTGGGAGGCTCAGTCATTAAGTGCCTTGATCCCAGGATCCTGGGATGGAGCTCTGCATCAGACTCTCTGCTCAGCAGGAAGCCTGTTTCTCCCTCTCCCACTCCCTCCTGCTTGTGTTCCCTCTCTCGCTGTTTCTCTCAAAAATAAATAAATAAATAAATAAATAAATTTAGTTTAATTTTAAAAATATGATATGGATTAAAAGATAAATTAATATATAATAAAAAACACAGCAATAGAGAGTGACATCAGCAAGATGGTGAAATAGTAAGTACCAACACTTACTCTTCATAAAAACACTGATTTAACAATGTTATATGAACCAAAATACCTTTACAAGAGAATCAAAATCCAGCTTAAAAGTTGCAGTACCAAAGATTAATACAAAACTAACCACAGCCACATTATAATGGATAAGAAGAACAATTTCACTTTACCCATTTCAGCCCCTGCCCCAGGGCAGCACTCAGCATTAGAGAGATCATCTCAGCTTATGACTTCTCCCTCAGGGAAAAGGGAGACTGTAGCATATATCCAACATTCCTGGCCTTTCATTGCACTGCACAAAAGGTCTGTTTCCGTTTTACCTCATCCAGAGGACTAAGAGAACAAGCATAGTTCAGCCTTCTGACAGCAGCTAAAAATAAAGAATGTAAGTGGGTGGCTTACTGCTGCTGTCATGGCTCTGCAACACTGGGAGAAGGTGCATAAGTCTTCTTGAGTCTTCTCCTTCAGAAGGGAGAATGAATGGGGTGTGCATTCAACACCCTGAATTTTCTGTGCACTTTCCAAGGGGAAAAGGTAGACAGCTCACTATAGCCAGAATGGCTCTCTGAAATTGAGAGAAGATGTGCAAACTAAGACTTATCCCCTAGGAGGAAGGAAGAGTTGAACATGATCATTCATAGAAAAGTTTTCAGATGCTCCCAGTATCTCTAGCTAGGTTGAATGATGAAGGTTTTTCCCTTTAAAATTGGTCTATAAAGACTAGGAGAAGCAATTGTTTCTTCAAATGCACAGACACCAATGCAAAGCTACAAGGGAAATGAAGAATTAGAGAAATATGACACAACCATAGCAACAAAATAAATTTCAAGTAAGTAACCCTGAATAAATGGAGCTCTAGAATTGCCTGGCAAGTAATTTAAAATAATTATATTAAAGAAGTAAGGGAGTAATAAGAGACCACAGAAAGATAATTAAATGAAATCAAGAAAACAATATATGAACAAAATGTCAATATCTCAACAGAGAGAGAACTAATAAAAGAACCACAGAAGTATACAGTAACTTAAGTTAAAAAAAGAAAAATCAATATAGAGGCTCAACAACAAACTTGACTGAGCAGAAGAAAGAATCAGTGAACTCAAAGGCAAATTATCTGAAGTTACATAGTAAGAGGAACAAAGAAAAGAAGTGAAGAACGCCTATTGGACTTATGTAATACTTCAATAAAAACCAACATATGTATTATGAAAGTCCAAGAAAAAGAAAAGAAAGAAAGGGACAGAAATCTTATTTAAGAATATAATGGCCTAAAATCCAAGAAGTATATGCATCTAGATTCATGAACCTGAAGAAAACAGAAGGAAGGAAGATGAACCCAAAGAAATCAAATCAAATTGTTAAAAGTCAAAGACAGAATTTGGAAAAAACCAGTAACAAAGTGACTGATCACATACAAGTGAGCCCCATAAGGTTATGAGTGGATTTCTCAGCAGAAATTTTGCAGACAATAAAGGATTGAGATAACAAATTAAAAGTTTTCAAAGGAAAAATATACCGACCAGGAATAGAATTCCTGGTAAAACTGTTCTTAGAAAAGCTGAGAGATAGGGGCACTGGGTGGCTCAGTGGGTTAAAGCCTCTGCCTTCGGCTCAGGTCATGATCTCAGGGTCCTGGAATCCAGCCCAGCATAGGGCTCTCTGCTCAGTGGGGAGCCTGCTTCCCTTCCTCTCTCTCTGCCTGCCTCTCCGCCTACTTCTGATCTCTGTCTGTTAAATGAATAAATAAAATCTTTAAAAAAAAAAAAAGAAAGAAAGAAAGAAAAGTTGAGAGATAAAGACTTTCCCAGACAAACAGAAGCTGAGGAAGCTTATCACCACTAGATCTGCTTTACAAAAAAAAAAAAAAAAAATCAATGACAGAGTGAGAGGGGAGACAAATGTAAAAGTATAGACTTTTGGTATGTGATTGAAATTATGTATTAACAGCTTAAAAAATACTGCTATAACTACAATGTATTGTAAATAAATCTCATGATAATTACAAAGAAAATACATATAGAAGATAAAAGAAAAAGCAAGAAATCAAAGCGTATCATTACAAAAAAAATCAATAAAGCACAATAAAAGACAGCAGAGGAAAAAAGAGGAACAAAAAAGATATAAGACAGATAACAATTAACAAAATGGCAATAGTAAGTCCTATCCTATCAATAATTACTTTAAACATAAATCCATTAACACCCCCCGCAATCAAAAGACATAGAGTGGACAACTGAATTAAAAAAAAAAAAAAAAAAATACCCAACAATATGCTATCTAAAAGAGACTCATTTCAGATTTAAGGACCCTTATCAACTAAAAGAGAAAGGATTGGAAAAGATATTCCATGAAAATAAGAAACAAAAGAAGGAAGAAGTAGTGTACTTACATGAGCCAAAAACAGACTTTAAGTCAAAATCTTTAACAAGAGAAACAAGGACATTATATAATGATAAATGGATCAATTAATTAAGAAGATATAACTATGATAAATGTATATGTACACACTATGAGAGCATCTAAATATAGAAACAAACATTGGCATTACTGAAGGGAAGAATAAAAAAAGTAGAATAATAGTAAGGGACTACAGTACCCTATTTTCAACAATGGATAGAATATTCAAAGAGAAAATCAATACGGAAAAAGTGGACTTGAACAACACTAGAAAACACAAGTGCTTAACAGACACAGAAACAAATTCCACGTTAACAGCATCAGAATCCACATTCTGTTCAAATGCATGCGAGATAGTCTCCAAAATATATCACGTTAGGTCACAAAACAAGTCTTAACAAATTTAAGAAGTACAAATTTAAGAAGACTGAAAACATATCAGTTATCTTTTCTGACTACAACAGAATGAAACTAGG